CGCGTTTTCCATTTTTATATTTTCGAAAACTGTTTTTCAGAATGGCAAAAAGAATGCATTTTCAGAAATTTCAAAACAGACACTCAAAATACAAAACACAAAACAAATTCAAAATACAAAACACAAAACTAAAACACGAAGAGAACGGCCCCTAAGAATTTACAGTCACATATATTTGATTTTTTTATTTTTTGTAGCTAGTAAATTGGTTTTTTTCTAAAAAATGTTAAATTTATAATTTAATAAAATTAATTTAAAAAAAGTTTGGTTCGGTTTGAGGGTAAAAAATCGCGGACCCGAATCAACGAGTTCAATTCAATTATGTGATTTTTGGTGCAGACCTAATAACATAGGTTAAGGCCAAGGGTCGATCAAATTCCCGGACCATATTGGATCCAACTAAGCAACTCAGATCAACTCTTAATAAAGTTAAAGGCTAAGCCCCCGTTTGACGGAGATTAAAATCAATTTTTTAGTTGATTTTGATAGAAGTCGATGAATGTATGGCTGAAAAGTTATAGGACTCATGAAATATGTGATTAAAATTAATTGTTCATTTTAACTTAAATTAAAATCTGAATTTTAATTCGTATCAAACGAGGACTAAATATATTCACATCACAATTTTCAATAATTAGACTATTCATAACATGTTACACATTATCACGTTTATGTCTCAAACTTTTTTTTCATCATATTCTTATTCTCAAATTAATATTAATTTTCCTGATTATGATTTATCACCAAAATATTTTTTAAAATAGAGTAAAAAAATCCATTTGCCCATTATATTTTTAAATAAAAAACAAATAATAATGTAAAATGCAATTAAATATTTGACCCTACTTTTAAAGGACGTTAACAATATCTTTGGACGAAAAAATGATTAAGGACAAATTTTTCGATTAACGAAATGTTAAAAATAAGAACATGATAAAGAAAAAAGATAATAATATAAGTGTGATAACGAATAAAGAATAATTACATTTAATATAGTTAAAATGTTATGTATTTATATAAAAATGTGGTATGAACATAATCACCCTAAGCTAAATAGGGTAATGGGGATAATATATAACTTAGGGATGTAAGCAAAAACCGTCAAATCGAAAAATCGATCTGAAATTGCAATTTCGAAACCAACGGTTTGGTGCCACGTGGACGGTGGACCCTTCAACGAAATGGTTTTGAACCAAACCAAACCGATCAAAACCGGTTTGGTTCAAGTAAGAGAATTTTAATTACGGTTTAAAACCAAACCATACCGGCCAAAAAATCTAATAAATA